TACATATATATACATATAGATATGTATACATATATATACATATATATATGTTTGAAGTAGGGCTGTACTGAATGTCATTTTTTTAACAATCAAAGCTTCTACTGAGGTTTGCAAATTAAGCCTTGAATGTCTTATGACACAAACAAACAAACAAACAAATAACCCTCAAACAAATGCCTCAATTTGAGGAAAGTGATTCGCCAGATTATATGAGCGTCCTTTTAAAACAGGTGTGTGCCTCCCTTTGTGTGCCGCAAGTTAGAGAGCAAACAGTTTTTTTTTACCACAGTGAAAATGTTTTTGAAAGGCTAAATGCCAACAAATGTGTATTGAAGCAATATATTTTGTTGGATGAAATGTGAATTTCAGAAATTATTACATCAATTTTTTTCAATAAGTTCTAAGGAATCTAATTCTACACGTTGTTTAATACTATTAATATTGATATAGCCTCATCTTTATCTGCAACTGTGCAAAAAACACCAGGTTTAAATAGAATTAATAGACATGCAAAAAAAAAAGCTGTGCGGCATTTGAATGCTGACTTAGAATTTGAATGTCAGTGTAATGAATGAAGCTTTGAACTATTCGGTACAGCCCCAGTTTGAAGTAAGACATTCTCTAATTTGTCATTTTTTCTGAGTGTGTGCAGTTGTTTACAGTGTATACTATGCTAGTTCCTAAGAGTACATACTGTCTATACTTCACATCTGTGCTAGTACTTCCTTTTGCTGCTGTGACACACGAGTATGCCCATATTGGATCATAAACGCTATATTCTCTGCGAAGATAATGGAGGTCTTTGTGCTGATCACATACAGGTGCTCTTTGGATTCTTAACATGTACTGTGCTTATTCTTTTGAAGGGCCCTTTGCATTGATTGAATATAGTCTCAAAAAATGTTTTTAAATGCAAGTCTCCTTCAAAAATAATCACAATAATTATAATTTTGTTATCTGCCTTTAAAAGCTGCTCTGAAAATTTAAATGCATTTTTGATAACCGTTCTTAAAGCATCACTAGGATTTGAGTGGTAATGAGAAGTGGGACTGTTGGTCACTGCTGAATTATTAGTTTGCTGGATTTGTGTGGCGACCCACAGTTTAATTCAAAATATAATAATCATAAAGTGGGCTAATTGTAAGATGGACGGGATAATGCGTACTTTCTATTTGCAGATCCTCTTTGTTGTCTTTTGAGTGTATTTTAAATAGAAGTTGTTGTTTTTCCAGGTCCCCCAGAGCAGTTTGACAACTGGCTGTCCAGCTTCAGTTTGGAAGACAAGAAAGGAGAAATCTCAGAGCTCTTGGTTAACAGTCCATCTATACGAGCCCTTTACACCAAAATGGTACATACTGATGCTTTTATCAACACTTTTTGTGATGGAGCACAACCTCCAATTTTGTTTCAAATTAATGCATTACATTAGATTCATTTGGCAGATGCTTGTTCCAAAGCAACCTAGAATTAGTGCTTTCAAAAGAACACAATGTTATCAGGCATTGGAAGTGCAATAAGCAAGATAAGGACAGTTTTGTTTTGTTTTTATTCACAGGTGCCAGCAGCTGTAGCTCATTCAGAATTCTGGCAGAGGTATTTTTACAGAGTCTTCCAGTTGGACCAGGTAATGATGCTGTTTTATACAGTTAATTCTAAGCTGCAGACTCTCCTCAAGATGTCTCTCCCTTCAGCTCAATTCCTTGTCTTGGGTGCCACCTGCTGGCTGAAAAATGCTGCCAGTGACTCCATCTGCGTACTGATTGGGATTTGGTCTTTAAACATGTTTAAATTTTAATACTATAGACACAGCATTTACAATGTTGTTAGACAAAAAATATTAACTCCAGAAAAAGCTAATGCAATGTAGTACAACAGCCCCTCAATCAGTCCTATCTCTGAAGCTGCTTTTTAACACTGTTTTAGAGGATTCTTTATTCAACTTTGAGGTAGATTCAACATTGAGGCGGAAGTCTGGCAGTGCTGTGTTGTGTTAATGAAACTGTGATTCCATTTTATATGAAAACACTGCAACCAGGCCTTCACAAGGAGGACTAAACCTCATCTTTCTGTAGTCAACAACATAAAGGTGGCACAAAATTGTAGCTGCCTTTCACATGTTTAATGCAAGAAAAACTATTGTAACACATTCAGTATGTTGTGAAGGTCACTACAAAAAATTGACAATACATATTGAATTTCTTACTTTATTTCAAATATAAAAAATTCATGTGATTGTGTGTTCTAGGAGGAGGCGAGGAGAGTGGCGTTGAAGCAGAGGGCAGAGCAGACTACACACACAGAGACCCTGGGCTGGGAGGAGGAGGAGGAGGGTATGATATCTTCAGTTTTACACTGATTAACTCTGAAACCTGTCAGATGTCAGAGATTTGGTCCAAAGTATACTGGAGCACACAGTAGGGTTGGATACAGAATTTGATACTTTAAAGGGTGCCGACCAAAGTGCGTCATGTACAGATTCACGTTTATCCCTCGGTACAACTTCAGACATGAGGTGGAAGCGCTTTGAAGCTGGGAAGCTGGCCACAGAGTTCTGCAGCAGTACTGTTGGCCACTCTGTCGGCCACTTCGTCAGCTTCCCAAAAGTATCGCTGCAGCAGTGATATGCTGCAGTAGTTTGTTCCTGGTCTATTTTCTTTTCAACGTTATTGTAGTAATAGCCAAGTATCACTGCTAGATGAACACACACACACACACACACACACACACACACACACACACACACACACACAAAAGATCAGCTCTCTGTGCGATTAGAAAAAAATCAGAGGAGCAGAACTGCTTTTTAGTCTACTACATCACCCCCACAGCTTCTTTAGAAAATTGCGTTTTTGTTATTACAGAGAAAGTAAAGGACCAAAGAAAGGAACTGTTGGGCACTGTTACCAAATTTGAGGTCTTGGAATTGGTACCAGTAAAAGGTTCAAAAGGAATGGTACCCAACCCTAGCACACGGACTTAAGGGAATAAACTTTATTAGACACTAATGTTTCAACGCTGGGTGCGTCTTCATCAGAGACTGAGCCAGGTGCATCGCTGGTGAAGACACACCTGGCATTAAAACCTTAGTCCTCTAGTAAAGATTGTCATCTCAAGTCTGTGTGATCCAGAATACTTAAGAAAACTTAAGTTTGGACCAAATCTCTGAAGTCTCTCAGACACAAGCTTGCCTGACTCTGAGAGCACCAGACAAGCCTGCAATTCCTTGTGAGTCTGTTGAAGCATGTTACACCTCTTCCTTCATCTTTGAAGCCTGAAGTCACTTAAACTGCTTCTTTGGTGTTCATGCTGTTCCTGTCAGATGACTTCCTTGGCGCCACATCATCATCTCAAATCAACTTCACACCCCTGTTGGAAAACAGCTCAACCCAGCTGCCCACAACCTTGACAGCTCCCACAGGAACGACTCTGCTGAGCCCCGTCCTGTCTCCCAGCGAAGAACGCGACAACACGCTCTCAGTCAGCAGCGACAGCGTCAGCCTGCCAACGCAGGTGGAAGTGCGGCCAGAGCCTGTTGCCACAGAGCTGGCCAAGAAACTGACGGAAGCTAGCTTGGAAGATGTTGCGGACAAGACACGAGAAGAGCAAAAGCCTGGAAAGAGTGACTTACCTCTTGAGGCTCAAGTGGAAGCTGTAACCCAACCAGAGGTCACTGTCGACGGGGCGTCAGCACGGGCTTCTGCCCCCACCTCTAAACCAGAAGCAGCAAAAGAGGAGGGGCCGCAGGACCTGAGAGTGTTCGAGCTTAACTCTGACAGCGGCAAATCTACGCCCTCTAACAATGGCAAGAAAGGTAGGATGACCTGAGGATATTTTTCATTTGGCAGCGAGGTTCGTACTGTTCCAGTTTAGGAAGTATAAATCTAAACAGGATTAAGTTCAGTGATGTGGTTATGAGTTTTCCACTAAATAGGCTTAGAAGAAGCAGCAAAGTCAATGTCATAGAAAGCTCCAAATTTTTCTTTCGGTCTCCAGGGTCCAGCACCGATGTGAGTGAGGACTGGGAGAAAGACTTTGACCTGGACATGACTGAAGAAGAAGTACAAATGGCACTCTCTAAAATAGAAGCTTCTGGAGAGGTTAGTGTTGTGACTTTCACCAGAATGTTAAATTAGAATATTAAAAATAGTTTTACTAACCCTCTTTCCTTTTCTTTTTTCATGACCAGTTGGACGAAGACTGGGAGAACTGGGACTGAGAGCCACTTCAACACGAACTCTGTCCCGCCATTAAAGCTAGTTCTCGGCAGACGAACCATGCTTAATGTGTTTTAACTCTTTGTCCACACTGTCACCATGTCATGATTGTCAGTAGGGGATTTTCCAGCGGGTTTGGACCATATTGGTAAACCCGTTGAAAAGAGCAACGGGAAGACCAAGGCAATAAGAATTACACTGCTCCGTCAGCTGTCAGTTTAGTGCAGATAGGCCGTTAGCGAGGGTAACGACTCAGGTCTTGGCTTTTTCTTGGAGTAACTTCTGACTTAGAGAGCATATGACACTAGTCGCTACCTTTTAAATTCTTAAGGACATGCAGTGACAAGTCAGAATGTGAACGGTATCACCGCAGCAGGGGAGGAGCTGTTTCCCCTTTTTCTTTATGCCATTAAATACATCACATATGTTGCGAGTGCATTGCAAGTTGGGCAATGACTTAACTGCAGGCTGCAAAATAGCCATAAACTATAATGCTGCTTGTCACCTTTCTAAGATGAAATACATTGCAAGTGATTTTTGAGTGACGATGATCGGTTGATTTAATTCTACCTGTGCCCCGTTCTTTCTTTCTCATCTTTATTATGCAAGTGGATCTTAAAATGGAAACAAAAAATATGTTGGCCTTCATTCATGGAGCACTTTTCATTTTGGATTCACTCCCAACTCTAGATATATGGCCTTGGAAAACACACGGTAGTGTGATAATGTTATCCAAATGTTTTTGTTACGAGTCAGTCATCTTAAACACAACCAGCTCATGTGTCACTCTTAGTTCTTACCCCTCTCTTTGTCATATGTGATTCATTTGAAATATGAGCGTGTTGCAGGCTACATGTAACTCTGTCACTTCTAAATATTTCACTTCTATGAGTTTGTCTTCTTTGGGTTGAGGGAATTGATTTGTCATGACTCGTTAAGAGAGAGCTTCTATCAATTCAAACTGGTCCCGGTGTCATGATACTGGATTCTTTGGCCTGAAATCGAAGTTCTTGTGTTCACTTGTATAGAAAAATAGGACAAATTGGTGAAGATTAAAGTTTCTCTGTCGGCCCATGTTTGGAACAAAATGGCTCAGCAGGCAGTGTGCCAAGTAGACCAAGGAGCAACGTGAGCGCGCTCCATGCTTGTCTGATTTCCTTTTCCATCATCTGTAATGTAACCGAGAAAAATAATCCTAGAGATGTAATATTTATACTAAAATAAATGCTTAATTATTGTATAATGTGCTTTGGATTGCATGTCTGTGCAATAAACATGCAAAACATTGTGCAGATGGTTACTGTTGAGTTGTATGTTTTTCGGTAAAACACATTGGCTGTTCTTCAGGTTTTTGTGTTCAGACGACGTGTTGCATGTCTATAATTCTCGGCTGTGTATTCCCTTCAGATTCATACTTTGAACTAATCAGAGCTGTTCTGCACACATCTGTTTTCAAAGCTGTCATTTTCTTTTTTATTAAGTATGTCACTATATTTTTCAAATGATCATGGTCATTAAAGGATTCATGGCTAATGGGCTTAGTGTCCTGTACTTTAATGAAGTATGGTTTGCTACTAAAGAAGAAATACCAGACAGATCTGTTTAAACCAGAGTGGGATAGCAAAGTGTTAAAAAAGTTAAAGCAATGCACCGAAAATCAGCACTCCTACCAAAACCATTTGCTGCAACACATGATCAGCAGCTATGTTTTTAAGCTGCTGTGCAGAAATAATAGGACTGTTAAACTTAAAATAAGTGGAAACTCATATTAAAAACTTAAACGCTCCAAAGGATTTCTCAAAGACAGGTTTGGTCCAAACTAAAAGAGCCACATGTACAGTAACTCTGGAAACAGAGTTGATTGTTGAATCTCATTCTCAGGTCCAACATGTGGGCTTGTTTGTTCAGTTGAACTGCTAACCCTAAGGTCATTGGTATATGATGACCTGAGAATGAGACTAAATCAGCTATCTTCTCCAGAGTTGCATACTGCACCTTTAAGTGCCACTGAGTACCTCAGAGAACCACTGAGACGGTACACCTTTTAAGTTTTTCCTCGAAGTATCTTCTATTTCTGAAACTACAGAGGAGTTTTATTGCCATCTGTGCCCCCATACAGAATTATGTAGCTGTCTGTAGGTGGGGACTTTGCAGAGGAACAGAGTCAGTTCTATAAACCAAATAGTCATTAATATGGAGAATTTAATTTACCTTAGTTTTAGAATTTAATGGGAATCACCTGGATAGGATACAGGGGAGTCGTCCCACTCAATATATAGAACGTGTATCCCCCCCTCCAATAAAAGCATGAAAGTAGCAATTGTTTTGACAGATTTAAAGACGTTTACACTATAAATTTATGCTGAAAAGACCGGAGTGCAGAAAGGTATGTGCTTGATACTGTTTTTTTTCCTGGCAGAGGACCCAAAACCCCCCTGTTTCATATGTGTCCCCCCACTGCTGAAACAAAACCTAAGGCCTTGATTTACAGTACTGTATGAACCTGCTGTTTGGAGAAACAGTGTGGGAGGACATTTCTGGTTTGTCTGACTCTATATATGAGTGAAATACTCAAACAAGATTACCATCATTTTATACACATTCGAAGCAAATATCTTTGGAAACTTTGGGACATCCGTTAGAATACAAAATAAAGTTCTATGGGTTTGAACAATGTTTGGCAACACAGCATGTGTTGGTAATGAATGGCCCACTGCGGAGTCAGTGAGATTTAAATTTCAATTGTGAATGTGTACAAGATTTTGAATGTGCATGTGAAAAAAATCTAAAAATTGCCTGCAGTATACAAAATAAGTCACCTGATGGCGCTGTTGCTCCATTTTGCCTGCCCTGATCACAACCTGCCACTCCTTTTCTTTCAGCTGCAGCATCCATCTCGCAGACATGGATTGGCCACATGTTCTGACATACCATTGTTCATCATCAGTCGCATTACTGACACAATTTCTGTGTCTTTCTTTAATTTTCGCACAGAATCTCTGCTAACATGCTCTCACTGGATGCCTCAGGAGCAGCAGCAGGCAGGCAGTCAATGAAATGTTTATTTGGTCTGTGTGGTGGCATCAGCTGGGCTAATGTAGGTCACAGTGGAGGGACACCTGTGCAGCGTGCTTGCTCTGCAACATGGATGCTGCCGCCTGTAAAGATGGCTACTGTCTGTGTCTGTCTGGTTTTAGGTACCCACACAATACTGAGTGTGTGTGGTGGGTGTGGTCGTTGGGGGGCTTGATGAGTGACTGGATGATGAAACAGACAAGGGCATGCATGAGCATCAGCCTACTGCACCAATGTCATGACAAACATAGCATCAGTACAGAGGAAAATTCAAATGAGGCTCAAATCTGCCTTTCAAATTTTCACTATTTAAGGACAAATTAACTTTGAGCCCTGATCTCCTGCAAGTATGCTCATGGGGCAACTCAGGTGAATCAAGTTCATCATCTAAGGGCCATAAAGACTTTGACTCTTGAGCTGTGCTTTTGTGGCTGAAATGACACATTACCTGCTTATTTGTTGAATGACATTACTGCTCTTTCATGCTGAAAGCGGCACCCTCACACCCGTGTGGTAATGGTTTGTGCATATGCTGCCCTAACCAGACCCCAAATAACACAGACACCATATACATTACATTCTTTCTTACAAGGAGGCCTTAGTCAGCAGAAAGGCTGTAAAGGAATTTCCTGTTGAAGCTCACCGCTCCCTGGGCCTGGCTGTGTATGTGTGTGTGTGTGTGCTTTACATTACCTCTGGCTCTCACCAATGTCATCTACAGATCATTTCACCGTGGACAGACAATGAGGGGGGTGGACGCCAATCAGACAGGGGAGAGAAATACTTTCCTCCTGAGGATCTGTTTAGCGTCCCCCCTTTCCTCCGTAATCCATCCTTGACCGAACACTTCCTGCTTCTCTTTCTGCCCCTTTGACTTTCTCTCTCTGCTATCCTGGTCCATGCAAATATACTGTATACTGTCACAGACGTAGTCACAGTCATTTCCAACGGCGCTCAAACACACATACAAACAAATGCACGCACAGAGAGAGAGCGAGTCAGGGTGAGGTCATTGTCTTGAGAGCGAGTATTATTCTCGGCACCCTAAAGGGAGAAATCCTGTAACCCCTCTGCCTTTCAATAAGCACAAAAGACTCCCTTTGAGGCAGACTCCTATGGAATGTGTTACCAGGGTTTTCTATAACGACTTGCCTCCCAATGCACACTCATTTCATATGTGTGTGTGTGTGTGTATGTGTGTGTGTGTATGTGTGTGCGTGCATCCGTGCATCTTTGGGCTTTTATTCAGGGTTTGAATTCTATGTGTATTTAATTAAGCTTCTACACATAAAATTGTGTGTATGTGGAGTTCCCTCCCCCTCACCGCTCACAGTTTATTTAGTTATACACTCTATCTCATTGGAAGTGACATCTATGTGTTAACTACATGTCTGACATAGTTTCCTCTCTGCCACAAAGAGAGAAAATGCAGCCACCAGGCTAAAGCGTTGATCCATTGCTGAACCTTGTGGGGGGGGGGAGAAAAAAAAAAGAAAAAACAACTTCTAAAGGACTCTTGAGATGCCTCCGGATTTTTCCATGACAAACCATCGCCTTTCCCAATGTTGAGCGGTGGGAACAGGCCACTTTGTTTGTGCGAAGCGGTGTCTGGGAGGAATGCGGGGTTTAGCTGGGGAGGGGACGGCAGGGGGAAAGTATGATAACTCCCACTCCATTCAGATTTATGGTCAAGACAGAGGGGCTCCTCTGGATGCATGTCAGGGGACTAGTAGAACACCGCCCCTCTACTCCGGGCCTGCCAAAGCAAATGTTTAGCTGAACAAACCCTCTCTATTCTTTACATCCTTCTCTGTCTCTGAGTTCTGTCTCTCTTTTACCATCAGATGGAAAAGTGAGTATTTGTTCGTCGGCACTGAACACAGTGCAGTTGTGTTCATATTTCTGAGTCTGTACTTTGTGAGAACAGGAGCTACAGTAGTATGTGGTTTTGAGTTTAAACCTGATTATAAACCAGAGTTGGTCATGATGACTGATTCTCAAGGCTACGGAGAGTCTGCACAGGTCACATTAGAATAGTGTTTGGTCCGTAGTGTGAGAGAGTTCAAGTTTGAAAAAGGACTGATGATTTACTTTTTCACTTATAGTTTTTGGAAAAGAGGTTGTTTAGTTTGCAATGCAGGGAGTTACATGAGAGGATTGACACTGCTCTTATGTTTTTATGGTAAATATGAAGCAACAGCCAGCAGCCAGTCATCTTAGTTTACTATAAGACTGAAAACACAAACAGCTAGCTTGGCTCTGTCCAAATGCTTTAGGAAGTCCCTCCTACTGGCCAAGAAGTCAGTCACATAACCCCCTTCAAACCACAACTTTTAAGCAATCGAGATATAGCATGATAATTAGTGAACTTTCGAGGCACTGTAGGGGAATTTTGTAACTGTGAAGAGTGGAGTTGGATTTTTCACCTACAATCTGGACAAATCTGAATAAAATCATGAAGCATGACCTGGTTAACTCAGAAAAAGGTGTCCTTTCCAATCCTTTCAGATGAGATTTTTAAATGTCCTCAAGCAGCCGGCGCCAGAAGAAAATGTTGACATTGTATGTTTCTGCAAACCATGGATACAAGACTGTGGGTTTTGTTTCAACATTGGAGAGGATACATGAAACAGGGGGTTTGGGGGTCCTCTGCCAGAATATTTCGAACATAACACAAAACTTAATTTCCTGCATTCTGGTTATTTTTTATGCAACAATTTGTACCTTTTCTGCATTCATTTGTGGTGTAAATGTCCTATTCTTGTCAAAAAATTTTATTAGGGGGGACAAATACATGTTCTAAATATTGAGGCAAATATTGTGCAAGTTCATATGTATCATATCAACGTTTCTAAAGTGACGTAGTTCTAAATTACATGTGTATGAGCTGACTTTGTCATCGGGAGGTGAGGCGCATAGTGGATGGTGTTGATACGTGAGACATCTACCAAACTGCAGACAGCTGGTTGAGACCAACAAACACCAAAACAGTTGTTTTTAGTGACCTGTTGTTGCAGGGTTTTTTTCTTTGCCACCAAAAATGGTTGTTTTTTACTGAGACATTGCTGCATTTCCACAGAGATTGCGACACCAAAACCTGGTATTTTACCCCATATTGGATCTATTCCTAACCATAACCAAGTGGTTTTTGTTCCTAAACCTAACCATATGTTAACCACAGTGTCATTGCAGAAAGATACAATGCCAGCCACTGGGTTGCCTCAAGTATGTTCCCTGCTTTAACAACTGATTTCGCAGACACCAGGTACTCACAAACATGCAGCTTTCAGATTTCTGTCCTCAACCTGCTGAAATATCATGTTCAGATTTGCTTTCACTTGTTCCTTGCTTAATGTGTGATGTGTGAATTATTTCTCAGTGGGGTAAAACTTTAAGAACTCCTCTAAAAGTTTTTCAGAAATCGTCTAAATTCACCTGTTCCCTGATGAACCCAACAGACAC